TTAAAAAAAAATACTGTGTGAGTTTTAGAATTAGTTTTTCAGTATCTGAAGAGAAGGCAGTGAAGATCATGTTGCCTCTGAAGGTCTGCTTAGGGCATTGGTTCTCAGCCTGTAGGTTTCGATCCCCACAAAGGTTACATAGCAGACGTTTACATTAGAACTCATGAAAGGAGCAAAATGGTTGGGGTCACTATAACATGAGGAAGTGTATTAAAGGGCGCAGCATTAGGGAGGTTGAGAACTATTGATTTAGGGAGTATGGCCATATTATTACCCACAGAGTTGTTTGAAAATCGAAGTCTTGAGGGGGAAGACAAAAGACACATTTTTAGAGGAAAAAAAATGTGGGATTTTACCTGTAAACTAAAACCCTTGAAGACCCACAGTGAAGTCCCAGCTGGGTGCATCTGAGATGGGGGTGGTGACATGGCTCTGGGGAGACCCTTGAGTCACCTGTGATTTTGGCTCAGCAACATCCATGTCCAAATTTTGGGCTGGGTAAGCTCCTTCTGCGAAACTGTGGTGACGACAGGTGCCGCCCGCCTCCCCAGGCAGAGCTGGGTTCTTGGTAATCCTCGCTTCAGTGCTGGCTGTTACTGTCCTAGAAACAACTTCAGGAGAGCTGTCCAGTGAGACCGTCTGTGTGTGTATAGGTGTGTGTGCATGCTCACGTGTGTGCTGGTATGCCTATGTATGCATGTGTTGTTCTCCAGAGCTGCTTGCCTTGTTTGAGAAAGGATTTTTCATCGGGATCAGGGCTTGGGTGGTGAGCCCTGCAGGCCACCTGTCTGCTGTTGTGCTGAAATTACCAGCAGGTGCTGCATACCTGGGTCTGTATGCTTGGGTCTTTTCTGAGTGGTTTCTTTCTCGTACAACCTGGTATATACTATAGAAACTTCACATTACATGTTATAAAAATTATGCCAGGCATGGTGGCACATGTTTTTATGCCTAGAACTCAAGAGACAGGTGGATCTCTGTGAGTTTGAAGTCAACCTGGTCTACATAGTGAGTTCCAGGACAGCTATGGTTATTTAGAGAGTCCCTGTTTCAAAAAACAAACAAACACCAACAACAAAAAGACCCTGAAACAAAAGGAAGTTGGTTCAGTCCCTTTTATTCTGCCATTGTTCTGCTAACTGTAAATCAAAGTCAGAGTGTCTTAAACAGAGGCCTTAGAGTAACCCTCATCCCCAAGAGCACCCTCTTGCTGTCAATCTAGACAGTTCCAGATGTGAGCCATGGAGTCAATAGGAATAGGTAGCGCTTACTTAATAATGGATTATCTTTGCAAGGAGGAAGCTACTTCTGTGTCTTATCTTCAAAACATTTTTTTAAAAATTTTTAGTTTATACGTATGGGTGTTTTGTCTATTCATTCACCAAGAGTGTCAGATACCCTGAAACTGGAGTTACAGATAGTTGTAAGCCACCATGTGGGTGCTGGGAATTGAATGTGGGTCCTCTGGAAGAGTAGCAAGTGCTCTTAATCACTGAGCCATCTCTCCAGCCCCTGTAAGGTTTTAAAATATATACACATAATATATGTGCATATATAATATGCATATGTTTGTTATATACTATATATGCATGTATTCTATAACATGCATATGTTATAATTAGATATGACATACATATATATGTATATGTTATACCATAATAGATACATATATTACGTATACACACAGCATATATGTATACATATATACATACACACACTCTTGTATATGTTGTGGTGGGGCATGTGACTAACACAGTACATGTGGAGGTCAGAGGACAAACTTGTAAGACTCATTTTTTTCCACTGTATGGGTCTCTAAGATCAAACTTAAGTGGTCAGGTTGGGCACCGAGTGCCTTTATCTGCTAAGCCACCTCACTCATTTGTTTTTCCGTATACTCTGTGTGGGGGAAAGGGGAGAGGGATACTCATTTGTGCGCTGCATATGGAAGCCAGACAGAGATCAACCTCAGATGTTGTTCCTCGGGAGTGAGGGTCTCTCTCTGGGACCTGGAGCTTGCTAACTGGATAGGCTGGCTGATCAGTGAGCCCCAGAGTCCTACTGTCTCTCCTCGGTGCTGGGATTACAAGTGCAGGCCACTAGGCTTGGCTTTTTTCATGGGGTCTGGGAATTGAACTCAGGTCCCAGGCTTGCATGGCAAACGCTTTGCCAGTTGCGTTATCCCTTCACCCCCAGCAGACCTGCTTTCATCACAAGATGAGCTCCGTTCGGTCTTTTCAGAGACAGCATCCTCTGTAGCCCAGATGCCTTGGAAGTTGATAGACGAGGCTTGCCTCACACCTAAAATGCTGTTATTCTGGCTATGCCTTCCAGGTGCTGGGATAAAACTATAGGTTTGCACATCCGACTCTGCTCAGTCTTTAGACGTGTTCTTGGTTGGCCTTTTAATGCCTTTATAATCACAAATATATCTCCACTAAAAAGATTATGAACAAATTTCTCTTTCTCCTTGAAAGTAATTTAAGAACAAGTATTAATGTATTCAAATACAGGCTCTATATAAACAAAATTTCCGTTCAGTGAAGCATGTCTGCAGTGTCAGTCTGTCAGTAAGGACATCATTATCTTAGGCAGCCTTCACACAAGCGAGAGCCAAGATTTGTTTGCTGTAAGAAGCATTCTGCCAGCGGCCTTTGCCAAATGCAGTAAACTGTCTCAGGGTGTGTGCTCTAGTCCCTTGATTGTCCTTTAGGAGAAGAAAGCAGCCGGCTGTGATGCTGCACGCCTTTAATCTGCACTCAGGCAGCAGAAGTCAGCAGGTCTGTGTGAGTTCTAGGACAGCCAGAGAGCTTCAGAGTGAGACCCTGCCTCAAAGAAAGAAAAGAAAAAACAAACAAACAAACAAACAAACAACCCAGCTCTTCCTTCCAGTTGTTTTCGCCACCGGTAGTCCACTTGTTGTGCCCTTATTTACCGTAGTTTCTCCAGCAGAGTTTTCCTGCTGTAATGTTACATGTTACATGGTAGGCATGCCCACAAGTTTCTTTCTGTGGATACTGCACCCTCTTGGATGTGCTTTGAAGAATGAAGACATTGCAAGGCAGGAGAAAGGCTGGAGAGTTTGTAGGCAGCACAGACTGAGTTCCATTGCCATTCCATTGCTGAATCTGCTTTTGGTCCTTCTGTGGGTAAAGGTGGTGGAAATTATGTGGAATAATTGTGGAATTTGGATATAAACACCTAGGTTTTTGTCGGACTGGACTTCTGCCTGTGTGCTCTGAAGATAGTGGCGATGGAGGACATTGCTAACCTGACTTTCTTGTTGCAGACAAAGCTTCCCTGGGGCCCCTACTTATGGTTCCACATGCTTCGGGCCGCCACCTCTACCCTCTCAGGTATCGCGCTTCTTTGTGACTATCCTGTGATTGCCGTAGTAAGTTCTTCTCACGGGAGCTTTACCAAGTGGGATGCTCCTGCTAAAGAAGAAACAAACTAGGGAACTACTTTGTTCTGGAGTAGCCAGCTAGCATTGAAAAATACTGTCTAGCTTGTACAAATGTTCTTCAGCTTAGAGTTGTGTTAAGAAACACACCAGGGCCAGCAAGTTGGCTCAAGCAGGTAAAAGTGCTTGCCACCAAACTGACAGGCAGATTTGATCCCTGGAAACCCTGTCAGGGAAGAACTTATTTCTGCTGAGTTGTCCTCTGACCTCCACACAATACGCTGCCTCCCTAAGTATAGTAATAAAAGCCACGCCCGGAAAGTGACACCATTAATGTAGACACGATTGTCATGTTTTGAACCCTGTTACTGCCTGTTCTGTTACTTTACCATTTGGTTTTCTACTGCTGTTAATCTCAATGTGTCTACTGCTTATTCTAAAGCCTTATTATAAGCTATTTGTATTTTAATTTTTATTAGTATTTAATTTCTTCCTTGCATGTTAGCATCTTACCATTTTATTCTTTGTTATGTAGTTATGGCAATGCATGGTTTCTTCCATGTAATTTTTTTTTATGGTACTGAGGATTGAATCTGCCCTGTACATCCTAAGCAAAAACTCTTCCACTGAGCTATGTTCCAGCAATATTTCACTTCTTAAATGAAAATGTAACTGATATTTGAAGGAAGTGAATTATCAGCTTATGTGGTTATGCCAATAATGTTAAATCATAAAATTTACGGTTTCTAATTAGCTACTTGATAACTTTTGTCTTGGTTTTTCAAGACAGGGTTTCTCTGTGTAGCTTTGGAGCCTGTCCTGGAACCCGCCCTGTAGACCTGGCTGGCTTTGAACTCACAGAGATTCCCTGTCTCTGCCTCCTGAGTGCTGGGATTAAAGGTGTGCGCCACCACTGCCCCATTTATCCTTTTTTGTCTTTTTCTTTTTAACTAGAACAAATCACGGCTAGTATTTGAGCCAACATTTACTGAGCGTGTATTGTGTTCAAGACTGCTTGGTGTAACGGAAGAGTACAAGCCTCACACACAGCTCTTTCATCTGCTTTGGCAACCTTCTGTCTCTTAAGCCTGACTTCTCACTGCCCTCCAGAGCCTTCTGTATTTGGTGCTGATCTTGGCAGACAGAATACACGGCAAAAGCAATTTAAGGGTCTGTTCCAGCTTACAGTTGAAGGGTCCACACTGTCTGGTGAGGAAGCCATGGCAGCCATCACCCAGTGATAGCCTAACCTTCTTATACAGCGTGTTTTACTAAAGAGAGCCCTCTAACTGGTGAGAAGCGGACAGAACACTGTGGCTGGCCTAGCACACATCTGGTCCCAGCACTGCGGAGGTGCTGGAGGGTCGCTGATTAAATACTTGGAATCTGCTTGTCACATAGCGAGATACTGTTCTCTAAACAAACTTGCAAAAATAGGAATGTGAACAGGTCGGGTGTCCAGGACGGAAGTGAAGAGACAGGGTGATAAATTTGTCAGGTTTAAGGATAAAACGGTAACTCTTATACTCTTAGTACTACATAAAATGCTCAAGGAATGTTGATGGTGTTGCATGTCTCTTAATTTTTGTGTCTTTAGTGTGTGACTTTCTTGGAGAGAAGATTGCATCGGTTCTAGGCATCAGCACCCCAAAATACCAGTATGCCATTGATGAGTATTACCGGATGAAGAAGGAGGTGTGTCTCCTTTTCTCGCTTGATTGATGGTTTGCTCAAGGCTTGATGAACTCTGTAATGAGTGTGTGGACACTCTTGGAGCCAAAAAGATAACTCCTGTGTCTTTTTGCAGTGCTAGACATCAAACATGGGACTTTACACATGCCAGACAAGGGCTCCGCCACTGAATATGGCTTCTTTAGTTTATTAAATTAACAGATTTTTTAATTCGGATTTCCTAAGGTAAATGTATAAAACCTATGCTAGGTTTCATTTGCCAGTGCTAATAAATGAGGGGCCTCATGTGTATTAATTTAGTCTTTTTTGTATACCTTTTGGTATTGTCATTTTAAAAATGGAGAAATACCACCCACCCTGTGTAAGTAGTGAGGTAGTTACTGAGTTCTCCAAGCCTCAAGTCTCTGTCTTCATGAGAACTGCATCTTTCTTAGGGTTAGTGTCTAAAATGCTCAGAAGAGCACCCAGTGCACACTGGCAAGCACGCGGTGAACCAGAGTGTCACTGTCCTTCAGGGGAATGGAGTAGCAGGTCAGGGAAGGCCAGAAGTGTGAACACAGCATTTGTACGGGCATTTGCACGCAGTTGTTCATTCAGCTTTGTCCTTGGAGGACTGTGCCTGGAGGTCACCTTTGCTCCATTGTGTGGCTTCAAACTGTTCTTAACAAAAACAAAGAAGAAAACACTGCAGACTTCTCTGTCCTACTCAGGATGATCCTCCTGAGAGGTTACTCACTCTACTGACTCATATCCCAGGCTCCAGGACAGCGTCCCCTCCCCCATGCACAACAGTTCTGAACCGAGGTGTCGCTGTAGCCTCTGCAGTGCTGCTTTGGTGTCATCCTCTCTAACCGCAAAGTCTTGAGGGCAGGGCCTGGATCACCTGTACCTTAATTAGTGCTTAGGGAAAAACTAACCATTAATGAATGACCCAACCTGTTACTAAATAGGATGACACCTTATAATTAAAGTGTCACAGTAGCTAACACAAGTGTCATGGTAGCTCATTTGTTACTTTACTGGGTAAGTAGTGCTGGGCCATCCACCTTTTAAAATAACTAATTTGAGAAAAGGAAAGAGATAGGTTTGTTTTGGTGGTGATAGTCCTCCCTCCCTCCCTCTGTGTGTGGTGTTAGATCCCCAGCATGCACTTTACCATTGAGCTACACCCCCATCCCAGACGTTTGTCTTAATTAGACACCAAAGTTTGGCTTTTGAAGAAAAAGATGCTATTGAGAGAAGACATATGTGCTCCTTTCGGGCATTAGAATTTTCACTACTGACATTCCCCATTTTTTAGGAGGAGGAGGAGGAAGAGGAAAATAGGATGTCTGAAGAAGCAGAAAGACAATTCCAGCAAAACAAGATGCAGGCCGACTCCATCGTACAGACAGATCAGCCAGAAACAGTGGTGTCCACCTCATTTGTGAACGTCAACTTTGAGATGGAGGAAGACTGTGAAGTAATCACGGAACGGAAACAGCAGCCAGCCTCTGTCCCACCATAGGACGAAATGACGTGTATTAAGTGTTACACCCTAAACGTCAATCAAGAACTTTTTACATTGTGTTTAGTGGGACTGAAAACAACTATTTATATTTTAAATTATTAAGGGAAAATCTTTCTTCATTTTTATGCTCTATCACAGTCAGATCTGAAGTTGGGATGTTTTGATTATGGTAAATTAGGGGTCGCCCCACCCCGCCTGCCCTGTGCTGGGGAGCAAACCTAGGGCTTCTTTCACACACACTAACCAAGTGCTTTGGTTTAAAAAAAAAAATCATCTTTTATAAAACAAAAGGACATTTAGCTAGGCGTGATAACACACACCTTTAATCCTAGCACTAGGGAGGCCTGTGGTTCTGTGTGAGTTCAAAGCCTACCTGGTCAACATAGTGAGTTTTAGCCTTGCCAGTGAGATTCTGTCTCAAAAACAGAAACTGAAGGCATTGTACATTAAAAGGGGAGTTAAATTGTTCATTAAGGTTTTTGGTGTGGGGGCTTTTTTTTTTAAAGTAGTGATAACTCATCTTTGGAGCTAATAATAACCCTAACAGCCCGAGAGTGAAGTTCCCTGCATTTCATGCTTTCCCTTCCGTGCATGTAACACACCTAGTCATCACTTCACACAAGGGTAGCTCAGCGTGTGTAACACACCTAGTCATCACTTCACACAAGGGTAGCTCAGCGTGTGTAACACACCTAGTCATCACTTCACACAAGGGTAGCTCAGCGTGTGTAACACACCTAGTCATCACTTCACACAAGGGTAGCTCAGCGTGTAATAAAAGCAGCAGGATGGAAGCACCGTCGATTCTTCCTGTTGAGATTTTTTTTTTTTTTTTGAGACAGGGTTCCTCTGTGTAGCCCTGGCTGTCCCAGCTCTGTAGACCAGGCTGGCCTCTAACTCACAGATCTCCCTGTCTCCGCTCAACCACCACCCGGCTTTGTTGAGAGCGTTTATGGAAAAGTGCTGAATGTACTAAAGATTAAGATGGTTCTCATTTTCACCACACGTCACTCTCGAATTTTCAGTAGTTAGCAGCTTGCTCTGATCACAGATTAACACTGGTCACTGAATTTGGAGTTGTAGTCTGGCGTTGGTCCCCAGCGACTGCCCCATGGCTGGTACCTTGGGTATGTCAGACTTACCCACTCCTTTCTGCACCACAGGCAGGGTAGCGGGGAGATGAGGAATTGGTACCAGGTTGGTCTTGTTCACCATTTTGAAGTCACAGCCGTGAGCTGGATCATTGATGTGAACCAGGTTCGGCCCTCTCTCTCCTTGCTAGGTTATCCTTTACAAAGTTGTGTAATGTGAGTGTAATTTAAGAAATATTCCTACATATGTGTTCAGAACCTTTTATCTGTTTAACTTTGATTTATAACCAAATGTGGATAAAGAGAAAGTGGACAGTGTTCTAGATGCTGATCTCAGCCTTTAGAAATTACCTCCTAAACTAGCCTTCTAAGTAGCAGGATGCCTTCTGTCTTCCATGTGCGCAATCCAAATGTGGACGGGCGAGCATGCTGTAGAGACCTGCCAGTGGACTCTCAGTAGGCTCACCTGAAAGCCGGATTTCTAAGTGGATAGTCAAAGTTTGAGTCAAAGTTTCAGTTGGACCGAAATTTCTAAGGCTCAGCAAGTATGGAGTCCTCCTTGGAGGTGTGACTGGTGAGCTTCCTTCAAGGGTGCAAACGACGGGACTTAATCCTTAGAGGTTTATCCTTAGATTGTGTAACTAAGGCCGTTAACAGTTACACTCTACTAAAACCCAGTCTTAAGTTGCTCAAACATGCTGGCCTGACGTCTTCCTCTTGGTGCGGTATCACCTCAGACACCTGGTCCTGAGGTGAAGGCGGGCCGTGTAAGGCGACCCGCGAGAGCATCTCTCCCGAAGCGCTAGTTCTCAGTTTACACAGCTAGTGATTACAGCAGGCCGGCCGACCTGCCAAGGCTCCGGTTCCTCAGTTTACTTTTGCTGCTTGTTGGGCAGTAGCTGGTTTGTGATGTTTGGAGTTATTCACTGTGCCTTACGTTTTTATACTTTGGTTTATGCAAACTATAAAATTTATTACAAATGGGTTAAATGGTTGGTTTTATTTTAAGCCTCTCACCTTTTCCTACTTTCCAGTCCTTTGTAGAATTGTTTTTCCCTCTGGATCATAGTCCATGACATTCTACTTTCCCCTGAGCTCTCTTCTGTAGAACTGAAGTCAGGTGTGGTGGCTGTCTGCACTCCCAGCACTCGGGAGGCTGAGGTAGGATCATGAACTGGAGACTGGCCTAGACTACAGACTGAGATCCTTCCATTTCACCAACAAATAACAACCAAAAACCCCATAAAACATGAGTCAGTATGATGAATTAGTAAATTTCCTAACAAAAACCTTTTAACAAAAGGTGCCGTTTTGTAAATGTAACTTGATAATGGTTAATAAAATAGACAAACTTTCATACTTGTGATTTTAATGAAAACAAAACATTTGCTTGAATACTTATTTTCCCCCTGGTTTTTTGAGACAGGGTTTCTCTGTAGCTTTGGGGCCTGTCCTGGAACTAGCTCTTGTAGACCATACTGGCCTCGAATTCACAGAGATCCACCTGCCTCTGCCTCCCAAGTGCTGGGATTAAAGGCGTGTACCACCACTGTCTGGCTTGAAACACCATCTTAACAAAAATGAAGTTGGGCAGGAAGATGACTCAGTGGGTACAATGCTTGCTGGTGAGCCTGGCAACCTGAATTGGAGCTCCAGAACCCACGTGGGGGGAGAGAGAAATGTCCACTGACCTCCATATGTGCTCTGGTGTTCACACACAGTAAATAAATGCAATCTTAAAAAGAAAAAAGCAAAATAAGGATGGTGGCATTCATTTTTAAACTCAGCACTTGGGAGGAAGAGGTGAGGGTTGTTTATGAAGCCAACCTAGTCCATATAGCAAATTCCAGGCCAGTCAGAGCTACATAGTGAGACCATGGGTCTCCCCCGCCCCCAAAGTCACATTTAAAGCTTTTGAATCCAGAAATGTAGTACGCTACTCTGATTGAAAAGTCCTTGATATTCACGAAGAGCAAATATTGTTATCCTACATCAATACCAGAAATTGTCCTTAAACTCAATACCTACCTACAGCAAATCTCTGCGTCTGAGCTCAATGGAACCGGAACTTATCATTTCATTAAAAACTAAAACTAGTAGTCGGTCCTATTACTTTGAAATTGTTCCAGTTGCAACCAAAACTCTAGTAAGCAACATTTGCTGTGTTTACAGGCATGTGATGAGTTTTATTTAGAATGTTTCTAAGGATTCTGCCTTAGAGGGTCTGCATGCAGCCTTCAGGCGTCTTTATGAAGGCAGTGTGGTCTTTCAGAGGTCATGTGTCATCGAGGTCTGCAGAGTTCTCACTGTCATTAGCAACAAGGGCTTCTCTGTTCTCATAAGTCCAGAAGCCATTCAGATCGATTAAGATGGTGGTGACTGTGTCTCCTTGATTACTGTTGATGAGATCTTGAAGCGAGATTTTCAAAGGATCCTTTGGTTTTACCATGTCAAAGATTTCATCCTGTGGGAGAAAAGATAATGCAAGCTGGTTGAAGTGACTTCTGTCACACAGTGATGGCAAATTCAGGGTGGACACCTGAACTACTGTCCAATTTTTATTCTGGCTTTTTCTTTTCCACTTGATAGACATCTCCTTAGCCACACCTTTCTTGTGTGTATAATAATCATCTCTCATTTTATAGATGAAGAAAACAGGCTCAGAGTTTAATCCAAGTTCATACCTAATTAATGGCAGAGCTGTCTAATACAGGCTTCTTTGGCTGCAACTGTTACACTTTTTATTGCCTTCTAACGTTGGGGAAAAGTCTGGGCTTAACCTTCTTCATCCCCAGTGCTGGGAATCAAACCCAAGTCATCTCTAGTCTGGCAAGTACTCTGCCACAAAGCCACATAGAGTCACATCTCTTCAGAGCTCAGCTAAATATTAAAAATCCAAGTGGTTCAGAGATAGTGAGAAGACTTAATTTCCCATGATAACAGCACCTTTTTACTCCAATCCCACTATGGGAGGGACAGAACTCCGCATTAAAGAATTAGTCACGCAGAATAACAAAGCTGTGCCAAGACTCAACTAGAACTCGAACTCATGGAAGAACCTCTTCTATGTTATGAATTGTACAGGATAAATATTCAAGGCAGTAATGTGTGTTTTCTAATTTTTTTTTTCGATTTGCCAAACAGGGTTCTCTGTGTTAACATCCGTGGGTTCTGGAATTTGTTTTGTAGACCAGGCTGACCTCAAACTCAGAGATCTGCCTCTGCCTTCCAAGTGCTGGGATTAAATGAATGTACCACTACCGCCCAGCATTTTCTAATCCTGTATGGTAAAATCACTCAAAGATTATTTAGTAGCTAGCATTACAAGCAGTTACATTTTTAATAAATTTATAGAGTAACTCAGGTTCATAAAATATAACTTTTAAACTGCATTTTTCCCAGATTGGTTGACGATTAGGTTGCTGGTTCTTAAACTCACGTTACAAAGTTTGTAATTTCCTTCATTTGTGTTGTATCAGAAAAGTACTTCAGGCTTATTCCTGGTTAAAATTGGTCGGGGTATTTTATTATGATACTCGACCAAAACCAAAAAGATCCACTGGATGTTTCTTCCTAACTGGTGAAGCTGCCGACTAAATGCCAAGTCGCATCAGGTTTCCAGATCTGTATTAATAGATTTGTGTGTGTGAATGCTACATGTAGTGTGCCAGAACCTACAGCGCTCAGGAGGGCACTGGGTCCCTGAGCTGAGTTACAGGTGGCTGAGAGCTGCCCAGCAGCGCCCTGCACGAGTGCTGGAGTAGAACCAGGTCTCCAGTGCTTTCACTCGCGTTGCTATCTTTCCAGCCCCGAGGAATGATAGTTTTCATACTGAAAAATGGATGTTTCTTTAAATCTAATAGATCAGAGTTGCGGGCTTTTTGAGACAGCATACTAAAAGGCTTGAACCTCAACAGTCCTTGAGTTGAATGTTTAGTTTACAATGAAAAGGACTGCTAAAGGATGCAAGCTGACACTTCAAATAAAAGGAGTATTTCCATGAGAACACAAAATGATAGTGAAACCATCAACTATATCAATCGGTAAATCCAAATTTGTCTCCATTTCTGATGACTCAAGAATCAGTTCTGAACAAGTAACAGCAAAAATCTGATTTGGAATAGTGTTTCATAGTTCACAAATTACTTTCATATAAAATTGGATATAACATTATTATCATGGTTATATTATCTGTTGTTATGTAAGTACGTAAAAGACTAACCTTGACATCTTGAAATGAAACAGGATCCTGTCCATGGATTTTCATTAGTTCTTGTATGGCCTGTATTTAATGGAAATAAATCTAAATAAAAAATTAAGTCCCTGATTCCTATCCCCTTCTCACCCCAGTTCCTGTCCAATTCCACACTGTAAGCTGAGCTTCGCCATCTCCCCGAGCACTGCACTCCAGTCTACAACTGGAGGAACATGACGGGCCTTCCTACGCTTACACTGCAGCTACTGGGAACCTGGGCTCAGGAGGAGGGTTAAGCCTGCAGGAGCCCCTCATGTTTGTTTCCAGAAGAGAATACTGGAAAAGATGTGTAACAGTCAGCTTTACTTTCCCATTATATATATATAAATCTGTTATAGTAATCCTTTTCAATTTAAAATCAAGTTTGGTAAAACTGTCAATAAGTAAATTAAACCAGATAGTTTACTGTATCTCAGGGTAACAAAGCTCCTTTACCCACCATACTCACCCTAAAGAAGTAATTCAGGGAAAAGACGTTCAGATAGCCCTTGTTCTCGATGTCCAGCAGTTTGAACATGTACTGCAGAGCTGCAGGCTCCTTTCTATTTTCCAAGGCAAGAACAAAGTCCAGGTAGGTCTTGTAGTCCTACAGAAGAGGAAACATTGAGAGTCTGCGGTAGAATCTTAGATGAGTATCTGCCAAGGTGAAGTAGTTTGTAATCACAGATGGCAAATTTAACTTTTTTAAAATAGGAAATAAATCCACTTGTGCACTTAGCATTGGTTTCTGGGAATTCCACAGAGGCACTAATCTAGGACCGTTCTGAGAACCAGCTCATTTTCTTTGCAAGATTTGCTTAAACTATAGTTTTCTTCCATACTATAAAATTGTCAAGACAATGATTAAGTTATTTTATGCTGCCATTAAATTTATGTCTTCATTTCAGTGCAGTTTCTTTGAAGAATGAACACCAGTCTATTTAAATAACTATTCTGAACCCACTCATCCATGTCTGTGAGTTCCACTCTATGGATTCAGTCACCCGTGGGCTGAAAATATTTGGGTAAAAATTTTGATTTGTACCTAACACAGACTTTTCCTGCCATTAGTACTCAAACAACACAGCACAGCTGTATAGCATTTATACCGTGTGAGGAATTACAGGTGACCTAGGGGTGATGCAGTCCACCGGAACCAGTACGTGTAGCACCTATGGATGCTGATACCCAAAATGGATTCTGGAACTAGTCTACAGCAGGTCTGAGCTTGGTGGCATGCCTGTAGCCCAGAACCCTGAAAGCTGAAGAGGAGGATCTGTGCCGAAGCTAGCATGGGCCTGCAGGTTTCTCCAAAATAAAAGAAAAAGGAATCTGATGGTTTCCAATAGAGTGAGGAGGTTGGCTCAGTGGTTACCTGCTAGCCTCACAAGCATGAGGACCCCAACTGAAGATGCCCGGGATGGTGGCAAGGGAAGACCAGCATCCCAAGGGTGTGGCAGCCAGACATTCTAACGTAATTAGTGCCTCAGGCCAACCAGAGCTCCTGTGTCGGCATTCCTAAGAGGATACCTGAGGCTGCAGACCTAGTACACAGGCATGTAAACTTGCACATATACAAACAGAAAAAAAATTAAAAATATGAATGGAAGCTAAAGACATGAACAGAAAAGAATGCCTGCATCTTGAAAGGGTGCAGCTGAAGTTGGAGGCAAGGCGTGCCGGCGCGTTCCTACAGCCCTGCCACTTGGGACCGCAAGACAGGAGGATCAAGAGTTCAAGATCATTCTTG